AATAGGGTCAAATATATGGTGACAGAAGGATATTTGACTTTGGGGATGAACATGCAGTGATGTATTATTGAATTGTACACTTGAAACCTATGTAATTAATTAACCAATGTCACACCAGTAAAGTTATTCAAAAATAAAATGAAAAGGAAAAAAAAAAAAAGATAAATTAGATAAAAAAAAAAGATAAAATGAACGGACATTTGAATCTTGCTAAAGGCAGAACCAGGCCTTATCTTCATTAATTTTCTTCTAACATTTGTTAATTTTCTATTTTATTTACTTATTATCTTTATTACTTTATTCATCTTCTCACATGGGTTTTTTTTGTTCCTCCTTTTTTATTTTATTTATTTATTTATTTATTTTAGTTTCTTTCAGTGTAAATTAAATTAATCATGTGGGTTTATTCCTGCTTTTTGAGGTAGACAAGTTTCTGTTTTCACTTTCATTTGTCTCAAGGTAGTTGTTGATTTCCTATTGAATTTTCACTTTGATTCACTTGTTTAAATGGATATGGTTTAATCTCTACATATTTGTTTGTTTGTTTTTACTGCAATTTATTTCTAGTTTCATGACACTGTGGTCAGAACATATGCTTGATATAATTTCAATCATCTTGAATTGACTGAGGCTTGTATTGTGGCTTAGTATATTATCTATCCTAGAAAATCGTCTATGTGCATTTGAGAAAAATGTGTCTCCTATAGAACTCTGTAGATATCTGTCAAGTCATGTTGATGTAAAGTGCTGTTCAATAGTGTTATTTCCATAATAATTTTATGTATGGATGATTATTCAATGGTGTAAGTGGAGCACTTAAGTCTCGAACTGTTGTTTCCAAATCTTTGCTGGTAACCCAATCCTCCCTTGGAGTATATTATATAACCTTCTGTGTTCTCATCTTCAAATTCCACAGGGCTGAAACCTTCCCTGGCACAGCCAATCTTCTATCATGAACTTCCAATAAATCTTACTTTTTTTAAAAAATGCCCCCTACTCTTATAGTATTACTGTTAAATTCTGCCTTTATGTTCATTAATTTGGGATATGTTTATTAACTTTGGTGCTCCTATGCTGAGTACATAGATATTTATAGCTTTTTATATCTTCTGAAATTGAGTCCTTTGAAATTATGAAATGTCCTTTTTTGTTTCTTTTTACATATTTGTTTTGTGGTGACTTTTTCCAATATGAGAATTCCTACCCCAGATTCTTTTAATTTCTATTTGCCTGGCATATCTTTCTCCATCTTTTTGTGTGTGTCTTTTGATCTGCTTTGAGGTTTGTTCTTTTTTTTTGGCAACACATTGAAAGGCTGCTTTTCAAATAAATTCATTTTGCCACCCTCTATCTTTTGAATGGAACATTGATCTCATTTACTTTTAGGATAATTATTGATAAGTATGTGCTTTTTGCCATTTAGTTAATTATTTCATATTGTCTTTGTTGTTATTCAGTGTCCTTTCTCTGTTTCCTTTTGACTTGTGGATTTTCTTTAATATTTGGATCTAGTCTTTCTCTGTGTATTTTTTGCACGGTTTTGGTTCATGAGGTTCATGAGGTTCACACATTTATATCTATCACAGTCTATTTTAGGCTGATAGGCATTTAAGTTCAATCACACTATTTTAAAAGCAATACACCCTTCCCCTCTTTATGTTTTGATAATATATTTTAGAACTTTTCATTCTGTGAGTCTTATAATTCATTCTGGTAGTTATAGTTAAGTTTACTACTAATCAATTAACTGTGATTATTGTATATCTGCATTTACTGGCAGAATATTTTTTTTCTTTTCTGAATTTCTTTTTTAATTTCTCCTTATGTTTTTTTCTTTTCTGCACAAAGAAGACTGTAGGTGACAGACAGTTCAGTAATTTCACATATAAACAAGTGGAGTTTGATAATGCCTGGCTATTCTCTTTTGGATAATCACAAAAAGAGCCACCTGGAAATTAATCCACATACAGATCTACCTAGCATGAAGTTTTTTGTTAACTGTCCCACCACCATTAACAGACTTACAGTTCTTTCTTTTTCTCTCAGTCTCTGGCTAATATAAGTTAATTTAGAGCTTCTCAGATTTTTTTGTATATTTCTCCTTTTTCATCAAGATCTTGCAGTTAAAGCACTGTTGATAAAAATCTGCATTATTTTAATGATGCTCAAATAGGCTTTCCATGCACAGATGGCTTCTTACTAGCTTTGTTACACATTGCTAGTGAAGCTCTATTTCTATCAGATTGAGTCACGCAGAAGAGGCACGTCCAAGGATTGTGTCACATGATAATATGTCTTTGGCCGATTTGGGGCAACAAGAGTTTTAGGATGGTCATCAGTCAACCATTGATTTTTTAAAAATATTTTTGAAGAATTATTTTTCTGGAAAGGTCTAAGTAGCTACTTCAGTCTGAAGCTTTGTTCATGAACTTACATAATTACAATATGCCATATATGAGAATTAAAGGTTATAACATCAAAAAACTAGAATTGCTAAACCAACTTGTATTAATTTTGTCCAAACAATAAACATCCGTGTTGCCACCCAACTAAAATGATCAGTAAAGAGAATAAATCCATAGTCAAGTGGTTCCTTTCTGATACTTTCTAAATGAATGTTTACTTCATGAGACACAAATGTTTATACATAGAAAACCAGATGTATTAAGTACTGTGCATACACCTCCTTGTTCAGCTAACATATAGTCTGCAGTTATCCCTTAAGACCTTGGCTTAAGCGTCAACAGCCATTTTTTGTACTGTAATGGTGGTGACAACATCACTAGCGATGTCACCTAAGGCAATAGACAGATTCCTAACTGCCTGTTCATAAGTGGGACAGACAAACAGAATAGCTAAAAATTGAGGGTTTGAGTCTTACTGAAAGTAAAATATGGAATAGAACTGAAATTAGAACAGGGCGTACTAGTGAATCACTATGACTATGGTTGGCATAGGGCTTAGGGTGGGGCATTCAACATCTTGTAAGAAGGTCAGAAGTTGCAATCACC